TACGACCCATCTGCTGTCCTTAACATCAACCAATTCATTCATGGATGTAGAAGACTCGAAACAACTTCAGAAGTAATCACGACGAAAATTTTAACAAAATTACGCAATAACAACAAGATACGAAAACAACAAGTAAACACAATGAATCCAAAAAACACCAATTGATATGACACACCACACATATATACAAACTGTACACAAAAATTCGCGGATCATGTCTTGATGGAATTCCTTTGAAGAATTGCAGGACTTACACCAGTACGCCTACAACCCTTCTCAGGTTGACGATTGTAATTTGTGGAATGTCCGGACACAAACAAGATTAACCAACGATTGCGATAATTGGAACTCACACAACTATTCAACACAAACATATGTACAATCAATACATCAAATGTTGTGGATTCCGGCATGACAAACTACCCTTGAAGAACTGTAGGACTTACAGCAGTACGCCTACATTCCTTCTCAGGTTGATGATCCAAGTGGAAGTCGTCTGGACACAAACAGAATTACCAACAGCTAGATGATAAATGATACCAATTCAGTATATACAGCATGAACATATGTACAAAATCACACACCTAGCACATTGGGCTGCTCATTGATGCGCTACCCTTTGAAGAATTGTAGAACTTACAGCAGTACGCCTACAACCCTTCTCAGGTTGACGCTCTAGGCTGGAAAATCGTCGCAGAGTTCATTTGCTAACTTCCTTCTATCAGCTATATCTTCAAATCTGAACGGCAACACGCCCATGTCATTGTATCGTAGAATATAGATGACCAACAAACACACGACATATCTCATCAGCCAAGTGTAGAAACAGAGTAATTTACACCAAAGATAATAACATTCAAATAGTAACTTGAAACTAGAAATGCCTTTATTCATGCAAGTCAATTTAACAATTACCCTCTCGTTTACACTTGGCTTATTCTCACTAAACTGAGCAATATCTTTCGTCTTTTCAAACGCACCAATACTATCATAGTCATTGCATAAGGCACATGAGTTCATTTACGTCCATTTCATTGTGGATAAAAACACCAACGATGACTGTGTGATACAAGGTGATGAACTTAGCGGTGGATCAGAAGCTGTTCCTTTTCGGCTTTCAGATAGTTGTCCAACTGCAAGATTACCACCACTGCTGTCTTTCACTACTAGTTCGGGTTAACACTATCACCTGATGATAGGTGGGCTACACGCTGGTCAATTACACTGACTGTCTCACAAGTATGCACACCTTCTGGAACTGCATCTGCGTTCAATTCTACTTCACGTTGTAGTTGTACAGAACCTTTATTTAACTTAGCAGTAGTAGGCATATCCCTCATCTCATCATGATCAACCAGAGACAAATCTGCACTATCATGATCATTATCACGAATGTTCACTTTACCGTCAATTTCATCATTTTCAAACTCTTTAATAACAGAAGTAGACAATTTTGGTTCCTCCGCACAAATCATTAAAGGTTTTATATCTTCACTCTGACTAGTAATACCTTGTAAACTTGTGGAGTCAGAACTGGACTCTGAATCAGTAACTCTATTCTGTGGCACTTTATTCAACAATGGCTTACCAGTTGCAACTACAGAATTCTTGACCTTGCCGTTATCGTCACACAATTCGGAGTCAGGCCTGGAGTTTACATTTAGCTTATCACTGAACCTGCACACCGGTTCACAGTTCACTGCTGTATGCACCTCTTGCACACGTGTGAAACAAAACCGTGTTTGTCTTGCATCTTGTAACTTATCTGTTGAGGATGTACTACGAAACCTGTTGCACTCACTAGTTCTATACGCATTACTATACATCATGGAGTCTTCTCGATATCCACCTCTCTGAGGCCTACTCGTCATCAATGATTGCATTTTGCCCTCAGACTGCTCTATTCTAGGGGTGAGATGTAATATACTGGCAAACTTGCTCATAGATTGATTGACACTAGTATTTACCAGTTTCAGGATATCATCAAACTTTGGCTCGATACCCTCATCCTCCATACGGGAGCTTATCTTCACCCACTTCCTTTGCAGTCGAGTAGGTAGACGTCTTGCTATTACTTCTAGTATAAAACTCGAGTTGAGGTCACTCACGCGATTCATCGAAATCATTGCATTCTTGTAAATTAGCAAATTATCTAAAAACTCAGTGAGTGCCTGGGAGTCATCCTGTAATTGACCACCATTACCCTCAACAGCCTCGAATAATTTCCTTACAATCATCGAAGGTCTTCCAAACCTTTGACGTAATATGCTCATAGCCTCGTAGTAGCCCTCTTTTGGCTTCAGAAACGTACAGCACTGTATAGCTCTTGCAGCATCTCCAGTGCAATGTCTCATCAAATACATTAACTTCAATTCATCATTTAATAAAAACCACTCAACATGATCTCAAACTCCTTTACAAATTGTAAATAATCGGCCGGGTTTCAATCAAAACACCGTGGTTCTAATTTAGGGAGTTTGATGTTCCTATCATCCCTGAACGGCGAAACAGTAACATCAACCATGTCATGCTTAACATCAGACACATCGTTACAATTAACAGACAAGTCACAATGACTTACTTTCCTGTTTGTATCCAAGACACTCTGTCCCTTCTTTGACCCAGGCATTGCTGAACTTGAGCAAATTCCAAGAAAGTTCCAGATATTGCTTGTTCAAAGAGGACTTGACCGGCACCAGGAAAAATGAACGGCGACTATCCAAACTTTCACCAACTGTTTGAATCCGCCAGATCTGTTTCCATCGTCAGAAACTGTCAATCACGTCTCATAAACCGTTAATGCCCAGCTCTCGCTACGCTCGGGCCCACGCTGTTCTTCGAAGATTTCAGAAACGCTTAGTTATAACGGACGAAAAAACCAAAACACCGATCTGCCGTTTGATATTTCTTTATTGTTACACCAACATATAAAAAGAATAAGCGAACTAAGGTCTGAAAACAAATATTACAATAATAAATCATTGTATTACTTCTGACGATGTTTCACTCTTCTTTCTGAACAGCGACCGATGAGACGATGACTGTCGTATTGATGCCTCCGCGAAAATTGGGGAAGTTGATTTTAAGCAAACAACCAAGAATTGATCGTTCAATCTTCAACTCCACTGACACACTATTTTTTGCACTCTTGCACTTGTCGCTCCACTTCGCCTTCCAGATGACATGGTATTCTTCGCGTTGTAAATGGCCTTACTTTTGGATCACTTAACGGAATTTCATGATTCACCTTGTCGCAATAACCGTATGGGTCGCCATCTCCAGCGAACAGATGATCGTATTTATTAATTAACTCTGTCATATTGTATACCGTCGACAGCTTCACCGCTGCTATCTCGCTGGTCTCATACATGTTGATATGCCCGTATTTCGTGATCACCACGTTCGCTTGCGTGTCGATTACTGCACCAATCTCAAGCAGAAAATCCGCTCCTAATACCGTTCGCTGTAGTTCGGGTACAACAATGAAAGGAAACGTCACCTCGAAGCCGCCAACAACGACCGTACAGTTCGATCTACCCGTTATACGCAACACATGCACACCCACTGTTTGTACTGTCAATGAACACGGACCAACACTCTTACATAAATTCTTATCTATTAACGACACTGCCGCTCCTGTATCTACTAAGCATACTACTTCTCGATCATTTGCTCGCAATTTTGAATACACAGCACCTTTTGTCAACAGCCCGCACTAAATCTAGGTTCATACGAGAGAAAGAACAAGCATTATACCGTCTGAAATTTCTCCTTTTTCGCCTTTCTGGGCAGTATCTTCTCCAGTGTCCCAGCTTACCGCATTCAAAACACCGGTCTTTTTTATCACCAAACTTTAACGCCGACACTTCCCGCTGCAATGCTTCAATTTTATGCTCATATTTGTTTGGTTTTGGCTGCTCTATAGTGGCTACAGTTGTGCTCAGCAGCTGTCTGGCCACCTTCGCTAGCTCACTAATGTCCATCGGTTGCGTTGCGTTAACCAGTTTTAATTGCTGAGAAATGTGGTCTGGGACACTCGATGAATTGTGAAGATAGTAACTGCTCTTCTGATTCTTTATCCAACGTGGGAAGCGCCCGTCGAAGTAAATTCGTCAATGTCATCGCCAATACTAAAGGGTCTACATCAGGTCCCAGCTTCGTTGACCGGAACTGCTGCGTCGCTAGCTGTCTGTCTGTTGCGCTGTCAAACTCCGATACCAAACATTCAACCAATTTCTTCCAAGACACTGTGCCATTTGACCTGTCTACGCTGTCATTTGCCGCCTTCGCTCGGCCTCTCAACAGCATCCCCAGAACAACTGCCTTCGCCGCCTGCTCCTTGACACCCACCAGCTCAGCGACAGCCTCGAAGTCACGTAAGAAGCTCCGTATGTCTCCTCCTTCAAACGCAGTTTGCCACGGGATCTTCATTTTTCTGGAGGCAGCGACACCAAATGTAACAACAGAAGACAAAAGCCAGGCAGCAGATCGATTTATTACGAAAATATTCATATATATTTCATGTACATTAATAAGGCTTACGCAAGCAGAAAAAGGCAGTATTCTAATTGGTTGTTTCTCGGAAGTTAAGCAGACAAACGCAGTCTTCTGATTGGTTGTTTTCGATATTTCTCGGAAAGTAGGGCCATTTATCTGCGAATCATATTTGCCCACGTTTAAGTCTGCTGTGATTGGTTGTTGAATCAGCGTCGATTAATGTCTACCAATTGGCCAGCAGCCTACTCTCACCACAGAACTTCTGCGCAAATCGAATAACTCAATTATTTGTAAAGCCATTCAAGAAAAACTTTTTTCTAATTCACTGCTAAATGAAAAGTTCACTGTGAGCCTAATACCGATATAGGAAACCTCAAAGTGTTAGCTTAGACTGATAAATATCACTAAAGAAAACCAGAAATGTTTCTGAGAATGAGAGTACAAGGAATTATTTGCAGAAGTTTGCACACCTCTTGCTCCTGTATTGCATGAAAGTAGTTATACTTGTTCACTGTGTTCATATGCATCACTTCTTTCTGTTTCTACAACGCGCTGACCTATTTAAATTCAGCGGGATATTTGTATGCTGTTCTAGAGTAGTAAGTTTTTTTAACATGTTCATGGTAATTCTTCGATGACTTACTACTTACACCATGGACTGCTGTAAAATAAAATTTCCTCACATTTTGGTTTGCAAAGATCTCCTCAGTGTCCTCTTCATACGGTCTATGCGTAGTTATAGATTCGGGCGCGTTGAAGAATGCTCGGGACAGGCTCAGAGGCCTTGTCCCACGTTCGGCTGTGACCCCGAAGTTTTTCGCCTCGACGATTCTGCAGTGGGCCCGAATAAAATGCTATCTGGGATATATATTATGATTCAGTTTTGACGTTATAATATTCTATACGTAAGCTATTACAGTTCTTTTGATCGGTCTTCAGAGGCTTATTATTTTATCAGACGGATGAATCTCTCAATTTTTATTTTTCCATTATCAAGGATATAGGAAATTGATATTTTGTGGAGATAACAATCTCCGAGTTCTATATTTTATCACTATTAAATAGAGGAGTCCAAGCTTGTACGAGTGGATTCTTGCTGACCGGTTACTTTTAGTAAAGTACATATTCGTTGGTTTTTATATTTGAGTTAATGTAGCGACGATTTTTACGATATGGATCACCTAAAATAATTGCGTCTTCATTTAGTCTTTTATTATTGAAGTATCAAAGAAAAAGGGAAAAGCCGTGTTTATGGATATTGTCATGCATGAGGGTATCAGCTTTTTCCAGGACCATGGATATGATGCAGTCCTTTGATTGTAGTCCTCTCTCTCTTACACAGCTTTATTCCTAACCGTTAAAAATTGATAAAATCAAATCAGGAATGCGAGAATTTCATGGCCTGCTGTAATTTATTTGTCATCCGAATTCACTCCTTACTTGAACCGCTTTTAGTGATATATATCTTACTGTTAATATACTGTATGCAGATCAGGATCTTTTGCGATGAAAAAATATAGGTATTTGCTTGGTGTAACACGTCCTCGATATTATTTCTTATACTTTCTTAACTTCATGACTAACTCTACTCATTACTGAAAATGATGGAATGCTGAACAAGTGTTTTGTTCCTATTTCTGTATTTTAATTGAAATCAGTTTAGTAAACTCAGTGGTTTCAGATAGAGGTGTTTAATGCCTGAATTCTTTCTTAGCTTGAAGGCAAAATTATTTTTAGATAAAGACAGATCAACATGACATGCAGAATTGTATTGGTTCAACTTTCAACACTTCAAAACAATTAGGAGTAGGATACCAATTTGCGCAAATACGGTGTAAGGAGAGAAAATACAACTCTGAAGGGTTTTCTTCAGTCCTCTATGATAAAAAATACTATGCTAAAGGTAGCTTCTGCTAATCTATGAAATATATATCTCCGGGGAGATCCGACTTCCCTTTAAAGGCGCTTGCATAAGGAATGTATGCCTCGATCCAGTAAAAAGATTTAATAAGTGTTTACGTAGATACCACGGTGATTGATTTCCGTGAGAAATGCTAAGGGTCTGCAGTCGTTAGTTCGCCATATCCTAAGGAATCCATGTATTTATAAAGGTTATTTTGTACTTTACTAATACTAGATAAGTTTATTTTATGTAATACAGTGATACGGTATTCATATAAATGATAATGAACGATACATTTAGTTCGAAACAGTATCCTTTTACTTTTATTATTTATTTATTTAAAACAATATTGGTAAAGTATGACACCAAGAAGATGTGCCACACAACAGTAATAAAACAACATATCCAGTTATCGATACTGTGTCCATGTTTTATACGAAAAATCGCATCTAGTATAGAATTGTACGCTACCACACTGCCCAAATTCTACAGTTACATTAATTCTGGTTATTTCAACATGATCCTAATCCGCTTGATGTTGTGAACCTTGTTAAAAGATGGTTCGATGCTTCTATGCCATTCTACCACATTGTTCAGTATATTACTACATTTTCGTCAACCAACTCGCTTCCGTCGAGTGAAATACCGTCTAACCTAATCACTTGTAGGTAGGGTTAAATCCGAAAATTTTACTACTAAAGGTGGCTCTTCAATGATTTAATTTTGTAAGTGGATAATTTGATTGGTTACACCTAGTAGTGCATAAAAGATGTAAACCGATTGGTGAAGCTGTAGATCTCTTATATCAAGTTACTGAAGTAGAAATACGCCGTAAGAAAGTTTGAAGTGATGCGGACAAAACAGGCTAATGGTTTCTAATTGCCAGCGTAAATATTATGGGAGAGTATGGCCTTTCTAGTTACAACCAGGAATTTACATTTGAAACCTAGATAATTCAGTTTAAAAATCATTACAGTATTTCAGGTACGTCTATCCTCAAAGGCTTTATGCTGTTATTCCCAATTGCTATTGATTGTGTCGTTTCAGTAAAACACATCACTTTAATAGTTCATCCACAGCTGCGTATTTTTAGTTTTCTTAAACTTATTTATTGGTTGAATGTTACACATATTCCATAAAAACGGGTACATTATATATATATATATATATATATATATATATATATATATATATATATATATATATATATACCGGGTAAATGGTGATGAATAGTGGGTAAAGAGAATCATACTTCTGTAGACGAACTGATACTGTATAACAGAAAAAATAGATTCGTGTGATATTACTGGTAACTTTGAGATATGAATAGACCTATTTAACTTCGACCAACTTATCACCACATCTCTTGGGTTCTGTTGGTCATATGGGCAGTGACCAGACAACCTTTATTGCTCCTCACCGTTGTTTACAAAAGCCAAAAACATTGATTAGTACTAAACTTAGGTCTAATCTTTCCTAGCTTTCCTCCAAGTGTAGTCCTGATGACGTAAACGTAGCACAGTCATGGGTATATATGGTTGTTCTTTCTTAAAATTCTTTTCGTAAACGTTGAGATGTTGCCTTGGTAAAAGAGAAGAGACGCGTGAATGTTGCTAAACAATAATAATTATTATTAAAGCTTGGAACACTATTGTTAGTTGGCTATGAAGTCATGTCTGGGGAGAGCATTCTAGACAATTTAGATGACAGCCAGAAATCATTAACGTTCCATCATAACGACTATGAGCACCAAGAGATGCACCGCACAAATCTCATAGTTTGTGCGGGGTTGGGCAGATTGCCCGGACGCCCAGATCGAAGCAGGTGTTTGTCTCAGGGGGCCACCCCAGAGCTTTGACTTAAAGTTTGGCCCACAAGGCAACGGAGCAGCGTCAGAAGCTGCATTCTACTGGTTGCCAGCAATCAAAACAGGTTGAAAAACCATTCAATCCGTTCGGATTCTGGACCCCAAACACACCATATGCTTGGAATCAGGGTATTCCACCTCCGTTAGATAGATCAGAATGTCCACCAGTCCTGTTCTAAGCGTGAGACGTTCTCATTCGCACTTTCAATTTTGGGAAGAAAGTCTCATAAAGGCGGTGAGTAGGATTTACCTGGTAGATGCTCTCAACGTGTTGCCATATAAAGAGATTTCGAAAAGACTGAAGTCTACCCATTCTCGGTCTTACTAAGTGGTTAATGGGGGCAGGGATAAGTGTGGATAGTCCATGACCAAATAAAATCAGGCAATTCCGTAAATGTTTGCACTTACACAGCATGTTTGGGACCCGGCAATAATACTGAGTACAAAGTACTGAAAAGTAGTTACCCAGTACTCGTCTGTTAATGAATCACACTAAATGTGACAAATTTTATGAATGTCTGGTTGCTAAAAACGGAGTAGGTGGAAGCGTGGCTTGAACCTAAGATCCCTTAAATGAAAGTCGGTCGCTGAAACCGTTAAATTACACTTTCAGACTAGGGTAAGCTTGTGATTCATACCACATTACTTGTTTGGTTCCCCATCTGTTACAGCCTTAGAAAATGGGTAGCATCACCAGCCTTTAGACAATAATTGCGACAGCCTGGTAAATGGGGAGTCTGTTCTGTGTCAAGTGGCATAAATGTGTTGGGTTATACTGAGGTTATGCGTAGTGTTAAGTTAGGAAGGAAAATAACTCAGGGTTGGTAAGGTGAATCGATTGAGATGGCTAGGACACGTGTTATGCATGGCAAGTCATCGCCTACCTTGTCGACTAATGTCAGTTAACATCAGATTACGTTGGAAAAGAATTAGAGGTGCTCAAACCAACATATGCTATCGGTCTAAGAAGTCTTTGACTACTGGATTGGACCACGTTAACGTGTGTAGATTGCCAGATTGAGATCCTTGAGACAATAAAAATCAGTGGCTGGAGACTGGGTGGCATGGCTGAAAGTCATCCTGAGTGGTTCAGACGCATTAACTCTTCGTCATCGCTTATTTCAATCAAATTCTCATTATTCTTCCTTTTGTACACTTCCGTTTATTATGGTGTCTTTGCATCTTCAGTGTTTATGTGTGGTTTATAGAAATGCTGCACTTTCATGCGAAGTTATCCGTTTAAGATTCAGTTCATTTCACCTCAGAGGATTAATGTTACTCTAGTTTCCCAAATCCCTCTGGATGGGGCAGGGTTTCAATCCATGACTGTGTTTGAAAGTCGAATATCTTAACTGGTCAACTGTATATCACAGTAGTGTGTTATTTTTACTACCATTTAGCGTATACCAGTTTTTGTCATCTGAAATCATCTAGTATTATAGTATGAATTACACCACTGATCTTGCATTATCTTCCCCACAGTTTTTTAACGTACACTGAATTTATTTCTGTTTTAGGTATCGTAGTGACTAACATCACCGTCGATGCCGCTAGGTAGCATGTAATTCCTGTGTGTGTATGAAGCCTCACATTCATCTATCTTTTAATAATGCTTAATTTACAAGCATGTGGTCTCTATGCTGCATTATTCCTACACTTGTTTAACAGGTAAGGTGATTGTGTATTTTTCAGATAAGTTAATGAATTTTTTCTAGGTCACATGCTCATATTTGTCATGTTTTACCTGATTTATTTTACAAATTATCATAAAGTTGATGGAATCACCTGTGCTTTCGGTTTTCAAGCAAATAACAATAGTATCAGAAGTAGAAAGTGTGCTACAGGTTTAGAGCACTGTTTAATCACCCTTAGTCGTGAAACAGTCAGTCAAACATATGAACTACACAGCTTCGATTGTTGGCCGTGGCCAGAATTGGTAGCAAAATAATTCAATTAATTAACTTTTCTGAATTTTTTTTAATTTTAGGGAAATAAATGTCCTAATGTTAGTGGAGTATGTCATGTCCTACATAGATCTAAAGATGATTTGCATAAAACTTGCTGCTGTTACGGTCATATGTGCAATAATGAGACTCTTGATATCGTTCCAACATCTGAAGGTATTGGTCAGTTTATTAGTTTGGAATTTTGTATCTTTATATAGCGAAATTATGTACACCGTACATTCATATCACCATTTGCACAGATCTTCCGTGCTGTAGTACCTCTGATCTTCATATTGTATTTCTTTGTGTTCATTTGACGTCTCCCATGTATCCCTACAACGCTGTATCATTTGTCCGTTGTGACATCAAATCTATCTCCCTGTTGTTTTATGTTTTTATGCCGGTGAACGTCTGTGTATATACTACTGAAAAATATTATCAGTAGTATACGCCACAATATGAATACAATTAATTTAAAATTTTGAATCAAGTAAAGTACGTTTCTTGAATCTAGTTGCTGTCCATTTGTAGGATTCTGTCGAAAATTTACGGCAACCAGTTTCAGTGAATTGTGTTGTGAATGATATATTTTTTTTGGTTGATTGTTTCTCTACTATAAGTAATTATTTACATTATCTGATGTTATGGGCTATAGGCATAAGTTATTATTATGAATTGTACTCTTGTTTTATAATTGATGAATACAGTAGGATTGTTTCACTCAGTGCACGAACTTAACGTGAATTTACGGTTTATTGGTTTAGGCGCTCCACTGACGACCAGCAAACCATGTGGTCATAGCAATCTATGAATGTTTGGCATGCGATTCGCTCCCGCCAAATGCAAGATGATGTTACAGGACTGGACTACACCGAATCCTAGTTTAAAATTAGGAAGTGAAGTGGTAGAGCACGTTGACCGCTTCACTTATTTGGGAAGTACCATCAGCCAACGCCAACTTGTTGATCTCTGACGAAATCTCAGCACGGATACAGGGGGCTCGTTTCGCCTATGACAGTTTACGCCATCTCTGGCGTAGACGCGATATCCGGCTGGCTATCGACCAAAGGGCGGGTGTAGTGCTCATCAGTCCGCTCCGTCCTCCTTTATGGCTAGCTGTGAGACCTGGCCATTGAGAGTGGAAGACATGAAAAGATTAGCTGTCTTTGATCATAGGTGCCTGCGCTCTATTTCCCGTGTAAAGTGGCATAATAAGGTGAGCAACATTGAAGTTAGGCGTAGAGTTCTAGGTAAACAGGGGAAATCAATCGACGAAGTTGTGAAGTTACAAAGACTGAGATGGTTAGGACATGTGTTACGCGTGCATGCCTAGTCATCGCCTTCCTCGACGAGCAATGTTTGCGGATGTAGGGTCAGGCTGGAAGAAAGCTAGCGGCGGTCAAACAAAAACGTGGAACCAGTCTATGAAATCTACAACAGTTAGTTTAAGTCACGTAGGAAGGTGTAGACTTCCGGGTTGGGGCCTTCGGGACGGTAAAAACCAATGGTTAGAAACAATTGGTGACATGGCTCAAAATCGTTCTCAGTGGCCAGCGCAGATGCATCTACTCCTTGTGACTTATGATTTCCAATGAAACTGTTTTGTTCCTCGTTACTACTATTCCTTTGTCTCAGACCTCTGTATACTGTCTATTATGCATTTCTTCTACTTTCTTCTCTTGCTTTGTGTGCTACAAGGAGGGAGTGTGGCGACTTGAACTGGCGCACATCTGTGTAAAGTTCTATGTCGAAAACAGACAGACAGACAGCTTTCCCCACTTACAGAAGTTTGGGCAGTCAGGTAGTGTAGTCAATCAAAGAGACAAAATAGGTGTGGCTCGTAACCAATTGCATGGATATGCAAGTGATTGTTGAGTAACATTTGATTTTCATCAATTTCATCTTGGTGATGTTAAATGGTAGCTGAAAGTCAGAATTTCTATCCATAGCAAAAAGCGCTGTCTGTCTGTCTGTCTGGATTCAACATAGAACTTGGCACCGAAGTGCAGCAGTTCGAGTTGCCACGTTCCAAATAGCACACAGAGGTAGACAAGAAGATGAGTGAAGAGAATCAATAGAGTTTGACAAGTATAAGAGTGAAACAGAATGGGTAATGGTAGAAAGGAATATGAAAGATTACAGAGACTGAATACATCTGCGCTGGCCATTGACAACGATTTTGAGCCATGTCACCTATTGTCTCCAGCCATTGATTCCTAGAGTCCCGAGGGCCCCAACCCGGAAGTCTGCATCTCCCTACCTGACTCAGTTTAACTGTCAAGGATTTCATGGATTGATGAGGCCATGTTTTTGTTTGGCCACCACTGGCTCTTTTCCAACCTGCACCTATATCAGCTAGTAATGCCCGTCGGGGGAGGCGATGGTTAGGCATGCGCACCACGTGACCTAGCCATCTCAGTCTATGTAACTTTATAGCCTCGTCGATTGATTTTCCCTCTTTGCCCAACACTCTACGCCTAACGTCAACATTACTTACCTTATTAAACCACCTAACGTGAGACAGAGATCGCAGACATCTATGATCGAAAGCAGTCAACCTTTTCATGTCTTCAACGCGTATTGGCCATGTTTCAGAGCCATAGAGAAGGACGGAGCGAACTGATGAGCAGTACACACGTCCCTTGGTTGATAACCGGATGTCACGCCTACGCCAGAGATGGTGTAAGTCAGCGAAAGCAGCTCGAGCTTTTCGGATCCGTGCTGAGATTTCATCGCCAATCAGTCCGTTGGTGCTAATACAACTTCCCAAATAGGTGAAGTGGTCAACATGTTCTATCACTTCACTCCCTATCACTAAGTTAGGGTTGACGTGTCCAGTCCTGTAGCAGCATCTTACATTTTGTAGGGGCGAATCGCATGCCAAACATACGAAGATTGCTGCTCAAGGTGTTCAGAAGACTCTGCATTTTGTCAGCATCCTCCCCTAACAGGACTATGTCATCTGCATATTCTAAGTCCATAAGACTATTCCCTGGTAACAAGTCGATTCCTAAGTCGTTACGTTCAGTTAAGGATACTTCCATCAGCATATCTATGATGAAGTTAAACAGAAATGGGGAAAGTGGACATCCCTGTCGGACACCACTGGTTGTTACCAATTCAGATGACAATTCCCCATAAGCCCTTACACGACGTGAGTTTGAATAGAGTGCCTTGATTAGTGCAATGTACTTTCTTGGCACTCCCTTCACAGTCAGACATTGCCATAGTACCTTTCGATCCACGGAGTCGAAGGCCGCCTTCAAGTCAAGAAATATGACAATTGTTGGACGCCGAAAAGTGTGTCTATGTTCTAGAATCTGTCGAAGAGTGAAGATATGATCTATGCACCCTCTACCTGGTCTAAAGCCTGCTTGATTTTCCCTTGTCTGTTCCTCCCGAGTTCTGCTTAGTCTATGCATGATTACTGAGCCTAGGATTTTAGAGACTATGTTCGTTAGGCTGATCCCCCTATGATTATCACACGAGGACTTGTTTCCCTTCTTGAATATCGGTATAATAAGTGACTTACCCCAGTCTGATGGCACTGTCTCTGATTCCCAGACTTTGCCTAGTACCTCAGTTAATCTACAAACTAGTATGTCACCCCCATATTTAAACACCTCCGGAATAATTCCGTCGGGTCCTGCCGCTTTGCCTCGTTTCAAATTACTGATAGCTTTTGTGACCTCACTACAGACGGCGGACCAGTGTCTATATCCCATTCGGGTACGTGGTGGATGTCGGGGAGGTTCAGTGTGGCTGTAGGCAAGTTAAATTGTTCCTCAAAGTGTTCTTTCCAGCGTTCAAGGCGTCTATCCTGAGAGCTAATTAAGGAGCCATTTTTCTCAGAAATAGTCTCACTTATGATTTGCCTTCTCCCCCCGTTTCCCTGATGAGTCTAAAGAGTTGCCTAGTGTTGCCTATCGCCGATGCTTTTTCCATCTCTTTCGCCTTTGTCACCCACCACTGTTCACGGTCCTTGCGGAGACTTTTAGTAAGTTTCCTTTTGTGCAGCTTTCGCTCCTCATTGAATTCGGAGCTCGCCGGAATAAGTCTTCTAGCATCTATCAGTTCGGATGAGGCAGTCGAAATCCAGTGGTTTTTACTCACCTTTGGATTTGCTTATTCACAGCTTTTACAGCTGTATCTATGGCTGACTGAATATTCTTCCAGGCTTCTTCAGGGTGAGCACAGCTGTCGAACTCAGATATGCGTTTAGCTAGTTCTTCCTCAAATAGGGATTTAGTTTCCTGATCGAGCTGGGGACGTGATGGTTTTACCGCCAGCTGTTTCCTACGTCCGTTCAGTCGTAAGCACACACGAGCCCGGACCAGTGCGTGATCGGTATCTACACACGTGTTCCAGAAGGAGCGACAATCTCCTACCGACCCACGCCAACGATAGCTTATTGCTATGTGGTCTATTTGTGTCCAGCGTTGGTTTGATGATGGGGGTCGCCAGGTTAAACAGTGTCTCTCCTTGTGTTTAAAGTTAGTGCTTACAAGAAACAAATGATTATCAGAACAGAACTGTAGGAGACGGTCACCGTTGTCGGTTCGCTGGCACGGAACTCCATAGGTGCCACCGACATCCTTCTCAGATTGACACAATTTCCCTACTTGAGCATTAAAGTCACCAGCTAGAACGACTATATCTGAGCGTTTAGCCTTTCGCACCAAACTAGACAGCTTTTGGTAGAACTCATCCTTCGTTTCATCCGAACTGCAGTCAGTGGGGGCGTAGGCGGAGATTACGAAAAGGCATCGGCGAGTAGTGCAGTCCTTTCTCCTTCTTACTGATCCGTTCAGACGGACAGCACACATTCGGCTATCTACCGGGATCCAGTCAAGCAATGTCTTTTCTGCCCTAGTACTCAAAGCTATCCCTACGCCAGCTAATCCTCGTGAACTAGCTGTGGCATCTCCTGACACCCTCAAGGTGAATTTTGAAGATTCATCCTGTTGGCCAGGTGGGGTTAGGTGAATAACCACACTTGGGTCTTGTATGCGTGTTTCTGAAACACAACATACATCAATGGCTCGGGATGCCAGGGTCTTAGCTAGTGATGCTTGTTGTCCTATTTGGCAAAGTGTCCTAACATTAAATGCTCCTATATGAAATTGGTGGCGTGGCTTTAGGAGACTATCGGTGGTGGTTTTTTGGCTTCCGTCGTTTTTAGTGGACACAGAGTGAAGAGGGAGTGAGGAGCCATCAAGTAGAGGAGTTGCATCAGTGGAAGGAAGGCAAGGTAATAGAGATGAAGATGAAGACAAAGATAAGTGAGGATTAGAGAGGTTTTGTGTGCGTTTCGGATTGTGAGGGCGATTGTTACTTCCCGGCTGCCCACACCGTGGAAGTTGGTTGCGTGACCGCAGAGCCCAGGGGACAACTGCTTGAGGCCGGTCACACGCGGCCTGTTTTTGTTTGTTCTCTTTTGTTTGGTGTGCCTCAGTAGCATACTTATCACTCCTGCCCTGTGACACGGCAGCAGGAAGCGCGGTCGTTGTTAATCCGGGCCACGGCCGATCCGGCATGAAATTTTGTGAATTTGTTTGTATCATAGTGTTGGATTGGGTAGCTGCTTTTTGTTTAACCGCTATCCAAACAACCTGTCTGGCATGGTAGAACCTCAAGAGACATAAGTCTCAGCCAGTATAGCTTGATTAGGTCATTGCGGTGTTCAAGCCCGACCACCACGTCAAGGTAGCAGCTTTCGGTCGCACATATATGTATGTATATATACGTGGTGTTTTTATGTTTTATTGTAGTTATCCCGCTAATTGTTTCTTAAAAACTTCATTTGATTTCTCTTAGTTTACTTTATACAGGAAAAGGCTACTGAAATTCCACTGTTTGCTTGTGTTTCACCACTTCTAGGATTTTTATCTTCAATGGACCATTATTTGAGTTGTTTTTAATTGAAGCTTTAGTTGTTCAGTGGGAAGGCATTTAGTTCTAGTGTGATTTTCTACTACTAATGTCAAGCGAGTTCTTTTATGCGGTTCAGCGACTTAGCATGTCACCAGAAGCCTTTTTAACGGAATTCAAACTTTCATCAACAGTTGCCTTCGTTCCACACTGAAGACCAGATGGCGAGCTAAAAAGAATTAGCAATAGGGAATTCTAGGAACGAACCAACCAAGAACCTATTGTCCAACAAATATGTTTAAGGGAATGAAGATGGGCTGGACACACTGACTGAGAAGATCGTTGAGTGATACCGCGCGGCAGGCCATAGATTGGAACCGGATTGGAGAGCGACGAGCTGGGCGCTTGTCCGAGAGTGACACTGAGAAGACCGTGTGAGAAGGAGATAAGAGCTTGCGGTCAATCGTAGAGCCAGGTGGAGATGACTGTAGAAAACAGAATAAAATTCAGATATGCTGTTGACGCCTTATGTTTCCCTCGGAACCTAAGGGAATAAACAACATCAAGGTTTAGGGTAACTGTTGTAGTGATATAAAATTTAAGTGTCTGAGATACTTTTCTATTTTCTCCTTTCATATTAATTAATTTTGTAGTGATGTATTACATACGGTCAGTTGATTAAAGCTCCGTATTTTTCCGGAACTGATTCAGGTGTATGTGAAGAATCTGAAACGTTTTTTCAAGTTAATTTTCTAGATTTTGTTATTAAACTTATATGAACAGGTAATCACTACTTCATGCTTCTTCCTAATTCTGTTTTTAGTAACACTTCTAAAATAAACTTATCATGTTTTATTTAAAATAACGCATTTAAATTCTGAAAACACAAACTGTCTCTTATGCTAGCTGCCTTTTTAACTAACAAGTTGTTTATAGTAAGATCATACTTTTGTGTGTGTGTGTGTGCTGGCACATTTGTACCTTACTGATTCTTTTTTGTGCGCTGTGTTAACAATTTTTCAACTATCGTAAGTGACTGGTTTCAACACAGAACTTTGTATTGATGTGCAGCAGTTTGAGTCGCCACACTCCATGTAGCACACAAAGCAAGAGAAGAAAGTAAAAACAAACGCATAATAGAGACAGTAAACAGAGATACGAGGCGAAAGCAATATCAATATGGAAGAACAATATAGTGTTATTGGAAATTATAGGTCACAAGGAGTGGATGCATCTGCACCAACCATTGAGAACGATCACTTTGAGCCACATCACCAATTATCTCCAGCCATTGGTGTTTACCGTCCCGAGGACCCCAACCAGTCAGGAAGTCTACACCTTCCCACGTGGCTTAAACTAAACTAAACTAACGTGGATTTCACTGAGTGATGAATTCATGTTTTGGTTTGACTACCACTGGCTCTATTCCAGCCTGACCCTATGTCAGCTAACATCGCCCGTCTAGAGAGGCGATGTATAGGGATGCACGCGTAACATATGTCCTAACCATCTCAGTCGATATAATTTCACAGCCTCGTTTGTTGATTTCCCTCTTTACCAAGCACTTGACCGAAGCCTAACCTCAATATTCCTGACCCTATTATATCATTCAACACTGGAGGTTGAACGCAGGCACCTGTGACCAAAGACAGCTAGCCTTTTCGTATCTCCGACTCTGAATGACAACGTCGCTTAGCCATAAGGAGGATGGAGCGGACTGCTGAGCAGTACACCCACCCTTTGATCGATAGCCAGATATCACGTTTACTAAGCCAGAGACGGCGTAAACTGTCACATGCGAAACTAGCCTTCTGTATCAGTGCTGAGATTTGGTCAGCGATAAACCCATTAGAGCTGAAGTGAAGTGGTCAGCACACTCTACCAACCACTTCACTCCCTGTTTCTAAGTTGTGAGTCGATTTAGTCCAGTCCACTCCTGTAGCATCAGCTTACATTTTACAGCAGGAGCGAATCGCATGCCAAACATTCGATCGTTGCGTCATGACCCCCTGGTTGGGGTCCGAGAGATAGCTCGAATCGGTGGCTCAAGATGTTATCGGATGTGGCCAAGAATCGCAATTAATGGCGAACGTACTGCAATTTCTTTCTTTCTTCCCTTTCTGACAATAGTTCGATAAAATGCTGTTTGGTTTTATTCAATATAACTGGATAGTTATGTAGTATCACAAATTCTCACATTAATTTTCAGTCTCTATCGTCTTTGTACAACTTCCTGGTTTTGTTTGTAGTTTTTTTTTGAAAAAAGTTTTATGTTTTTATAGATATAGGTGAATTTCACAAAAATGGTCTCGGTCACTTTGGTTTACGAGTGCCTGGTCGTGATTCAAACGTGGTTGCAGCTCTTCAGGATCTATTCAACTCAGGCATCGTTTCTTCTTTGAATTCAGATTCATATGAAGATCCTTCAAAAGATCGTTTACTGGTTTCTTCATTACGCATATTTGTCATTTGTGGAATACTTCTTTCAACTGTATGCACAATTATTCTAATTGTGTTTTGTTTATCTCCACGATATAAAAAAGTTAGAATGAAAATTTTCTTTCCACGCAATCATTCATCATCTTCACAATACTATCAAAATGGATTAGATAATCGTGTGCGTAGGCCATTACCAATAATCGATTGTTTTCATTGTCCAAAAAGTTCGTCTTTCAAGTCATCTTATGCCGGTGATTGTGTTATTAGTTATCCTGTTCAAAATTCTGAAGTTACACATCATTGCATTTCTAATAGTGGGGATAATCCGCCTAAAGGTTGTTCATATACTGAATCAATTGGTAGTGAATTTGTATTCTGTGATATATCAGAACATGGATCAACTACAATTACAGAAATAGCTAATCTACAGGTGAGATTTTGGTTGTATAATTATCATCATCATTATTTGTGCATTTGATTTACTTTTTTTTTGACTTTTTGATTACAGCTTGATTCCACACCGTATTTTTTTGTTACAGGTATGAAATTTCCAGCATGTGATATCAGTAACCCAAATTTTGCAGGCTGACCATAGATATTAGGTATGCGTCGGCAGGGGATCGAACCCCGGACCATTTGCATGGTCGGCGAGAGTCCTAACCACTGTGCCACTGATGCACATGTGCCATCTTTACTTCTCATGTACGATTTCTTTTTCAGGCATTCATTTACCTTGTAGATAAACATACATACAGTTTTCAAAACTTTAAGCTGACCGTTGTTTCGTCACAAATATTTGAAAACACACATCTAGACTGTGATAAGCTGCACTATGAAGTTCAAGTATGAGGTTAGATAGTTTGATTGCTGAATGATTCCATAAAATAGAATTCACATTGAAGTGTTTGCCTAAGGTTTTTTAAATGATACGGTGTTTATTCTCCAAAAAAATATATCTGATACAAGACTTTTTTTCAAGCAAAGGAGTACATGCTAGAGGAATATAAATGGCCTCCTATTGGTGTGTAACCGTTTCAGAAGACAAAACACGATGAAAATGCTTCACTGTAAATCATCGTGCATGAATGGCACAGAGGTAGATTGCTCGCCAATCGCGCATGTAGTCCGGGGTTCGATTCCCGGCCGATTCACTCCTTTGCTCTGCTAAGCCAGTAATAAGACTGGTAAATAATAATAATAATAATAGCTTTATTCCAAACAGTATTTGTGGTACAGTTATAGAATTTTCAGCGTACATTACAATATATTGCATCTAATTACCTCATAAGTTTTATAAGATTTTTAATATTAAAAAAATCAAAAAAACCAACGCCAAAAAATAAAAGATAAAAAGAAACAGCGTTGCGTTTACATTTTAAACAATGCACCACAGGATATGAAATATAAAGTTAGTGTGTGATAGAAGATGAGAACAACAGTGTAATAGTAACGAGGAAAAGAAAACAAAAACTAATGGGACGATTTGTTAGAGTGCCGCAGTAAGTTGATCATGTCATACCTAACGGATTTCTCATCACATAACAGCTGTGCCAGATATGGTATTGTGAAGTTTTTGTATTTGGTAGTCCTAGCATATAGCCTCTTATAGCTGCTTCTAGTTCTACCAGATGAAATGCAAGGAGACAGCTGAATATAGAGAGGATACTCGGGGTCCGACAATATTGTATTCACTAGTTTCTTACATGGAATAATATGTCTATCCACAATAGTGTTAACCAGTTGGTTTAACAATATCCCACCTGCCCTAATAACGGCTTTTAATGCCTGCCCTTCTCAGCAAAGCAAAGTCTTTCTTAAGTAGTCCAGGAAAGATTAATGGGGAGCAGTAAAGGGGGATGGGTAGAATAGAAGAATTGACAAACTGAGAAAGCAAAGACTGCTTTTTATGCCAGATTGCCTAAATTTCCTAACGTAGAACGTTAAACGAAATATCTTTCTAGTAACTAGCAAGATGAGGGAAGGTTGGGCACGAGGCTAGCATCCCCATTTTGGAAAAATAAACACAATTGCTAGCGAAACTTCAAGCTTGTAGCGTGAAGTCCTGTGTTCCACTAGGAGTGTAAAGGAATAAAAAAAGCTGCAAATCATCGGTTAATCAGTTTTCTACATACAACAATGTTAAAATGAAATGAAAACTCTCAGTATTAATCCTGCCGCTTTGACTGACATCATATAGAATGTATGTAAACTGATCACCTGTATTGGTAGTAGTGCAGAACAAAAACTTCACATTTTAGTCAAGTTATTGAAAATGTTTAATAATATCGATAACAACACTATGAGAATAGTCTATAAAGCATGGTTAATACTGCTACTACTATTAATACTAATAATGTGTTCAGTTCAATGGTTGACATCAGAGGCATGAAATCATAAGTATTTTAATTCAATTCCTAATTAAAAGCTTCTTCACATAAATAAATGTCTTATAATTCTTATGTCAATCAAATGGATAGACTGCTTTACACCGATGTAAGCATTCATCCTTTAATATCTATCAATGAATTATTTAGTCTTCTAAAATAGCACGAAAAATATAATAAACGATGCTTGATATCATTTGAGTTTTACATGTTACACACAAAATCTGATTCTTCCATCTGTGAATATATCACTAAACGACTAAGTTTCCTACGCGTGTCCGCCATTGGAAAAGATTCTGAGCTATACCGCTAACAATCTTCTCAACGATTCAAGGACGCTAACCAGGCAGTGTACACGTCTGTCTGTCTGTTTTCGAAATAGAACTTTACACAGATGTGCGCCAGTTCAAGTCGCCACACTCCCTCCTTGTAGCACACAAAGCAAGAGAAGAAATGCATAATAGAGACAGTATACAGAGGTGTGAGACAAAGGAATAGTAGTAACGAGGAACAAAACAGTTTCATTGGAAATCATAAGTCACAAGGAGTAGATGCATCTGCGCTGGCCACTGAGAACGATTTTGAGCCATGTCACCAATTGTTTCCAACCATTGGTTTTTACCGTCCCGAGGACCCCAACCAGTCAGGAAGTCTACACCTTCCTACGTGACTTAAACTAACTGTTGTAGATTTCATTGACTGGTTCCACGTTTTTGTTTGACCGCCGCTAGCTTTCTTCCAGCCTGACCCTACATCCGCAAACATTGCCCGTCGAGGAAGGCGATGACTAGGCATGCACGCGTAACACATGTCCTAACCATCTCAGTCTTTGTAACTTCACAACTTCGTCGATTGATTTCCCCTGTTTACCTAGAACTCTACGCCTAACTTCAATGTTGCTCACCTTATTATGCCACTTTACACGGGAAATAGAGCGCAGGCACCTATGATCAAAGACAACTAATCTTTTCATGTCTTCCATTCTCAGCGGCCAGGTCTCACAACCATAAAGGAGGACGGAGCGGACTGACGAGCAGTACACCCGCCCTTTGGCCGATAGTCGAACATCTCGTCTATGCCAGAGTCGGCGTAAACTGGCAAATGCGAAACGAGCTTCCTGTATTCGTGCTGAGATTTCGTCAGAGATCAGCCCGTTGGCGTTGGCTGATGGTACTTCCCAAATAAGTGAAGCGGTCAACGTGCTCTACCACTTCACTTCCTATTTCTAATCTAGGAGGACTCGGTGTAGTCCAGTCCTGTAACATCATCTTGCATTTGGCGGGAGTGAATCGCATGCCAAACATTCGTAGATTGCTGTTCAAGGTGTTTAGAAGACTCTGCATTTCGTCAGCGTCTTCGCCTAGAAGGACTATATCGTCTGCATATTCCAAGTTAACGAGATTATTCCCCGGTAGCAAGTCAGTCCCTGAGTCGCTGAAGTCACTTAGGGTTAAGTCCATTAGTACATCTATGATGAAGTTGAATAGAAAAGGGGATAATGGGCATCCTTGACGGACACCACTAGTCGTCATCAGTTCAGATGACAACTCGCCGTAAGCCCTCACCTGGCTGGATGAGTTCGCGTGGAGTGAGTGCCTTGATCATTGCAATGTATTTTCTCGGCATTCCCTTTACAGCCAAGCATCGCCAGAGTACCTCTTGGTCGACAGAATCGAATGCCGCTTTCAGGTCAAGAAATACGATGATTGTTGGACGCCGGTAGGAATGCTTATGTTCTAGAATCTGTCGGAGGGTGAAGATATGATCAATACACCCTCTTCCTGGCCTAAAGCCTGCCTGGCTCATTCGTGTTTGTGCCTCCCGAGCACCACTCAGTCTATGCATGATTATTGAGCCCAAGACTTTAGATACTATATTAGTCAAGCTAATCCCTCTGTGATTATCACAGGAAGACTTGTCTCCCTTCTTGTATATGGGGATAATCAGTGACTTACACCAACCCGATGGGACTTCTTCTGATTCCCAGACGCTGCCTAGTACCTCAGTTAATGCAGACAGTAAACTGTCTCCACCGTACTTAAATACCTCTGGAGTCATTCCTTCAGGTCCCGCTGCTTTGCCTAGTTTCAGATTGGTGACAGCTTTTGTGACCTCACCTACAGACGGCGGACCAGTGTCTATATCCCATTCGGGTGTGTGCTGGATGTCGGGGAGGTTCAATGTGGCTGTAGGCAAGTTAAATTGTCCCTCAAAGTGTTCTTTCCAGCGTTCAAGGCATCTATCCTGAGAGCTAATTAAGGAGCCATTTTTCTCAGAAATAGTCTCGCTTATGATTTGCCTTCTCCCACCCGTTTCCCTGATGAGTCTAAACAGTTGCCTGATGTTGCCCAACCTCGAAGCTTTCTCCATCTCTTTCGCTTTTGTCACCCACCACTGTTCACGGTCCTTGCGGAGACTTTTCATAAGTTTCCTTTTGGGCAGCTTTCGCTCCTCATTGAATTCGGAGCTCGCCGGAATAAGTCTTCTAGCATTTATCAGTTCGGATGAGGCAGTCGATATCCAATGGTTTTTACTCACCTTTGGATTTAACTTATTCACTGCTTTTACAGCTGTATCTATGGCTGACTGAATACTCTTCCAGGCTTCTTCAGGGTGAGCACAGCTGTCGAACTCAGATATGCGTTTAGCTAGTTCTTCCTCAAATAGGGATTTAATTTCCTGATCGAGCTGGGGACGTGATGGTTTTACCGCCAGGTGTTTCTTACGTCCGTTCAGTCGTAAGCACGCACGAGTCCGGACCAGTGCGTGATCGGTATCTACACACGTGTTCCAGAAGGAGCGACAATCTCCTACCGACCCACGCCAACGATAGCTTATTGCTATGTGGTCTATTTGTGTCCAGCGTTGGTTAGATGAAGGGGGTCTCCAAGTCAAACAGTGTCTCTCCTTGTGTTTGAAGTTAGTGCTTACAAGAAACAAATGATTATCAGAGCAGAACTGTAGGAGACGGTCACCGTTGTCGGTTCGCTGGCACGGAACTCCATAGGTGCCACCGACATCCTTCTCAGATTGACACAATTTCCCTACTTGAGCATTAAAGTCACCAGCTAGAACGACTATATCTGAGCGTTCGGCCTTTCGCACCAAACTAGACAGCTTTTGGTAGAACTCATCCTTCGTTTCATCCGTACTGCAGTCAGTGGGGGCGTAGGCGGAGATTACGAAAAGGCATCGGCGAGTGGTGCAGTCATTTCTCCTTTTTACTGATCCGTTCAGACGGGCAGCACACATTCGGCTATCTACCGGGATCCAGTCAAGTAATGTCTTTTCTGCCCTAGTACTCAAAGCTGTCCCTACACCAGCTAATCCTCGTGAATTAGCTGTGGCATCTCCTAACATCCTCAAGTCGAATTTTGCGGACTCAACCTGTTGGCCAGGTGTGATTAGGTGAATAACCACATTCGGGTCTTGTATGCGTGTTTGTGGAACACAACATACATCAATGGCTCGTGATACCAGAGTCTTGGCTAATGATGCTTGTTGTCCTACTTGGCAAAGTGTCCTAACATTAAATGCTCCTATATGAAATTGGTGGCGCGGCTCTAAGAGGCTGTCGGTGGTGGTTTTTTGGCTTCCATCGTTTTTAGTGGACGCAGAGTGAAGAGGAGGTGAGGAGCCATCAAGTCGAGGAGTTGCGTCAGTGGAAGGAAGGCAAGATGATAGAGATGAAGATGAAGACAAAGATAAGTGAGGATTAGAGAGGCTTCGTGTGCATTTTGGATTGTGAGGACGATTGTTACTTCCTGGCTGCCCACACCGTGGAAGTTGGTTGCATGACCGCAGAGCCCAGGGGACAACTGCTTGAGGCCTGTTACACGCGGCCTGTTTTTGTTTTTTCTCTTTTGTTTGGTGTGTCTCAGTAGCATATTTATCACTCCTGCCCTGTGACACGGCAGCAGGAAGCGCGGTCGTTGTTAATCCGGGCCCTGGCCGATCCGACATGATATTTTGTGAGTTTTCATGTATCATAGTGTTGGATTGGGTAGCTGCTTTTTGTTTAACCGCTATCCAAACAACCTTTCTGGCATGGTGGGACCTCAAGAGACATAAGTCTCAGCCAGTATAGCTTTATCAGGTCATTGTGGTGTTCAAGCCCGACCACCACGTCAAGGTAGCAGCTTTCGGTCGGTTGTACACGTATTTATGCGGCTCAAACAAGCAGTAAAAAAGAAACTTGGAGTAGGTCATGTGAAGAGGAGATGAAAGCATGTGAGGACACTTGGAGCGAGGTGAAATACTTACTTACTTACTTTACTTCGACTATCTCCTACGGGAGGATGAGCCGGCTTCATGAACGTCTCGAATCATCGCTGCCCAGGCGCGGTAATTTGTAAGAGAGTTCATGAAGTTTCATGGGAATTTGGTACGAGTGATGTCCCCAGCATCGCTCGGCCTTTTGTTTGAGAGTGCAGCTCTAGCCTTCACACAGCCAAGTGTGACCTACAAGGCAGTAGGAGTGGAGTAAGGAGTCCACTATCCATTGGCAGCCGGTGACCGGAGTTCGGTTCATACGCCTTTTTGAATGGGGCCAGACATCCAGGACATCCAACAAGCCCTTTGTCCATACGTCTGCCGGTGAGCTCCAGTGAGCTTCATACGCCAGTCGTTGGAGGTTTGGAATCAGGGTTTAGCCATCTCCCCTAGACCGTCATCCAATGGACAGTCAACCCGGTGGAGAGCGCCGGGCATCCGCTTTCGCCCTCTCACTTTGGTGAGAAACACCTCCGCCACGTGAAGGCAGTGAGTAGGACTTCCTCAGGAGAGGCTATGTAAGACGCCCGGTCATATGGGAGCATTTCAAGAGGTGTGCGGAGGGGTGGCCAACCCGCAGCGCAAGACACCCACCCCCGACCATCCTGAGGCGAGGTGAAATAGTTGGCAGAAAACCGAAGGCAATGGAGACGCGTGGTTGAAGCCTTATGTCTCTCTAGGAATGAAAGGATATAATAATAATGGTAATAATACTGCAAAGTGAAAGAAGCATGAGTATCAGAAAAAAATCAATACCGTGTTATTGTAGTTGAAAGTTGATTCAGTTAATTTCCTTTTGCATTGTTAACTTTAATTCGGATATTTTTATTTCTTTTTTTTCTTTTTTTCATGAAACAATTAGCTTGTAGCTAAATTTTGTCGAAAAGGAAAATTAATTGGTCGTGGACGTTTTGCTGAAGTATGGCTTGCCAGTGTCCCTTTATCAGTAATTACTAATCAAATAAAAATGACTCAGGATTTTCTACGCCTTTTAAATAATCATGAAAACAATCATAGTAATGGTATAAAATTGAATCAATCAACTAATGGATCAGTTCTGGGGAATAATTCAAATGCTAATTCATCTTGGCATTTATTCTGTTGTCAATCAGATAATAAAATGAAAATGATATCTAGTGACACAATGAAACGAAATAACTCAAATACATCATCATTATTTCTTGAATCTCATACGCATATACCTATGGATTATTTTTACAGGTTAGTTGATTATACTCATTATTGTCTTTTGAGGTGTAATCTTGAAGTGGGTGACTAACTGAAGATTAAAGGAGGGGATGGAATTTAGAATTATGTAATAAGTAGGTCATGAAGACATATGACGTAATTCGAAATTCCATTCTTTTCTCTAACCTTCACTTAGTCGCCTCCCTCTGCAGATTACACCCCACATTACTCAATGCATTTTATACAGTATGTTAACAGTTTTATAAACTCTTTGTTAAATAGAAATATGTGTTATTCTGATTAATGGTGACTGACTACCAGTGGAATCCAGGACGTGCATTTTGTCGTATTTATGACTCGTCAACTAGATATCTCTCCAACCCCAGTGAGTGATGATTTCCCCACTGTAACTCGAACCCAGAATCGATTGTTTCAAAAGCCAGACCGTCTCCGCCCAACATGACCCCCATGGTCTGGGGTTCAACACCCGGCCCACGCACACCGTTACCTCTCTTGGCCTGTTATGAGTCCGACAAAGAGCGAAGGTTGGGTATGAGGCTAGCAACTTCACCCCGTGAAAAACACCACTGGTAACGAAACTTCAAAGCTGAAGCTTGAAGCCTTATGTTCCACTGGGAACGGGAAGGAATAAAATTATGTGTATATATAATCTGTTAGTAAAGATTTTATTTTGTTCATTAAGTTCCGAGAGAAACATAAGCCGTTGGGCTTGAAGCCTTAAAGTTTCAGTAGCTGTGGTGTTATTTTTATGTGACGGGATTGCTAGCCTCACGTCCAACTTAACCTTTTTTTCCCAGGCTTATTATCTGCTAGAAAACTATGCGATGCTTAGGAGTGCGTCACCCGTGAATATGACCCCAGGACAACATGTGCAGTTGGTGACGGTCACCGATGTATATTTTTTGAGCTTAGTGGTGGTTATTGATAATACGAAGAAGGAGTATTCACCTTTTCAGAAAGGCGACTTATGCTTCATTAGTTTCCACAGTTTATTCTCAACCATTCCGTTTAGAAGTTCACATCCTACTGCATATATTAAGTTTTAGATATTTGAGTAGTATTATCAGTCTTTATACGATAAATTGAGCATATAGGCCTACAAGTGATGTTAAAGCTGTATTTTTACCTTATCGTGCAAAAGTTAGATATTATTCAGCCCCCTTCAGAACAGTTTAATTGCAGATAAAATTGTAGTTGTTTGACTGTTGTAGCCATAACGCATATTTCAGTAGTATAAAATAAGAAGTGATATATAATATATATAGCTAATTTTAAGAAAGAGTTGGTGACGTTATTATCAAAAAAAAACTTCTGTAAACTGCTAATCTACATGAATTCCCAGTGTTTATTCAAATACCACTTTATCTTGTACCCTTATCAGATAGATTAACAAATAAAGTTCAGTGTATTTCCGTTTGTTGTTGTTGCTGATAATTTTGCTTAGTTTTTAAACACTTTTTTCTGTGTAATCTAGTTCTTAATTTTTTTTTGATTGATTGGTTGGTTGGTTGATTTACTATGACACAACACAATGGCCTAAATTTTGTTTTACTGATAAAATAATAATAATATGTTTTAACACAGTACAGAATTTTCAACTTCTTTTACTGCCAAGGTATATTCACTCCTTGTGCAATATCGTCTTCAAATAGTATAAAAATCAATAATATACATCATTTAAGGTAATACTGTTCCAGTCTAAGCATGCTCCCATAATTTGCGTTGTTTTCCCACCTATTTCCTTGAAATTAGTCATGACAGCAGAGATTGAAGTCTATTTGCGAATGTTTGTGTGTGTGTGTGTGTGTGTGTGTGTACGAATGAGAACCGTCATTCATGAACATAATTTGTATAATAAGACAAAAATGTTGCATGTTATCACAGATGGGAAAATCATCAGGTAGGTAACCCATCGATTTAAGCAGGCTGTTTTTTTATTATTATGCGACTATTACCTCAGAGCTATGCCAAGCAAAAGACTGTGCTCATTCATAATGACTGTGATTTCTGAGTATTATGAGATAAAGTGTAAAGCGAATTTCAAGTTGTGGATCATGGGTGCCTACTGTTGAAGAGTCTTAAACAAGGATGACACATATATGTGCATCCATGTGAAACCCCACATGGATTTTACTGGTTCTCTAAAGGATCTCAGCTGGCGATCTAACAGTATTAAGTATGATTGCCCTTATTGCAAATGTTCATAGTCTTTATTTTTGATGTACACCGTTAGTATAAGGTAATAATTTTAAGATTACAAACACCTTTTTTTCTGTTTTACAATGAAAATGTGAAATCTCTTCAAGTTCTTTAACTTAGAACTACCGTAGTGACTGCTAACGCTACTACCAGGGGACTTTGACATTCATAACCAGCTCACCTGTGATAAAACAAACTCTTTCCTACGTACTGTTTTGCCATAACGCGTCAGTTATTTTTTTTTTTTACTGCAATAGTTTACAATTAATATCACAGGAATTGGAAGCTTTCTGTTGGTATCAAGTTATAAGATATATTTAAAACAATTAATTTAGACAAAGCAATAAGAAGACGTAATTTTGTCTGAATCGTGTAGTGTTGTATTTGCGCAACACATTTCGAACAGTCTGATCACACACACACGGACTTGTCATAGGAATATATATGAAATTAATAGAGTTAAGAGGTGATAAAATAGACAAGTTGGATCAAGTTAGAAGGACATATTGAAGGTCAAAATAACAATGAAGATCACTAAACCAGATAATAGAGGTAATAGTACATCTACCCTGGTTGGTATCAAAACAAAGTTTAACAAGGAAGGTGATTTAGTGTGATGACGAATTGTTTTTGAACGCATAAAGGTGGTTTAAACTTTCTAATTGCTAGGGCTTCCACAAATTTTAGGATACGCCCTCCCTCAAACACTTTTTATGGATAGGTTTAAAAGATCTGTTAACTTTTTAAGTATTGGTTTTGTAGGGATTTTGTTTGATTGCATGGAGGATTTCATCATGAGCTGACATCAGTTAGAGAACCACTGGAAAACCTGTTAACGTCAATTTTATGTTTCGTCTCTATAGTATGTTTCGCAATAGAGGAGACAGGTATCCTGTTCTCCCCATTAATGGGTTCTAAAGATTCTATTTGATTCTGGAGCCATTTAGGAATATGCTTTGAAGCCCTTACTTGCAGAGATCGATGAGTCCTCCCTATGTATATGTGTCCACACGTACATTGAAATTGGAAATATACAGTGGGATGTGACATATATTCCTTTTTTATACTATTCACAATCAAGTAATCCTATAGGATGTCTGATGGAAACATTTTAGAGAACCGTACGTTGAAAAAAGAAGGCCAATAATGTCTACCGATTTTATTCAATTTCTTGTTTCTTTTCCTGAAATAAGCTTTACCAAGTTGAGAAACTCTTGAAATAGTGATGAGTTGCAACCTTGAGAAATAGTCAATGCCGATTTCGACAACACCACTGAAAACTGAGTGTTGAGAAGGTGGGAATCCCTTTTTTTTAATGAAATTAACGTCTTATCGAAATCGTGAACGGTGCCAAATACATTAATGATTCCCTCTGTCAGTTCATATAAAATAACATCGCAAGATGTAATACTTGTTCTTCTAAACACAACTAGAATAGAGCCCAAGAAAGAAACCAAGAATAATGATCCTATTAATTCAACGATAAACAGTTGATTTCGTATTGAACTCAGCTAACTTCTTTTTTCAAAGACATGACGTTGAAGATGTCTGGTCTCTGATAATCATCACTGAATGCTTGCAGATTGTGAGCTTTACCAGGTAAAGCTAGGATCCCCCCCCTCTCTCTCAGATCCTTGTTGCTTCTTATCCGCTACCTTTTTTACCTTTGTAGACAGCTCTATCTTCCTATGAGATGGTGTTTCCTTTTCATTTCTCGATAGTGTTTAATTTGTCTACTTCAATTACATGACAACTGTATACAAAAACTGAGCTATGCATATATCGGTAATCCTTGGTTTACAGTGTGTCTTTTCAATTCAACCTCTGTTTTCTTCTGAGTAGCGGTAGGCTGTTCAAGGTTGTCTTAAGGAGATTCTGTAGTCACTGATTAGTATAACCAGATTTCATTTTGAGAATTTTGTATAACTAATGTGCAGTAAATACTGTACATTCCTAATTTTTCTTTTCTTAAAATATGTTTTACAAGAGTTTTTGTACTGCTTAAAAAAATTTTATTCAATAAATTTATTCACACTTTCAAATCTAATGTATTTAGAAACCCTGTTGGTGAATTGATTAGCTTAAGGCTAATAAAGCTGTCGTTTGCTCAAGGTCTTTTTTTTCGTCCATTTTGTAGCATAGGTTTCATCAGACTGGAATTTATTCTTTATAAATTCTTCTTATCGATAGAATATTTTTAAAAATTTCTTCCTTTCCTTTGTTTGCCTGTGTGTACATATATAAATATATTGCGTGGGCGGTGGACAGTAATAGTAATGTAGATTGGTAGTACACAACCTACTTTTGGGCCAATTTTCTTTCTATTTAATTTCATCCTTTCCTGTTTAATTTCATTAGTGGTGTACTAATAGGATTAATCCTAAATGACTTCAGAGACTCAAGGATTGACTTGTTACAAGGGTAGAATCTCACTGACTTAAAATATGCAGATGATATAGTCCGCCCTCCTAGGTGAAGACGCTAACAAAATGCTAGCCTTCTGAACACCTTGAGTGACAATCTTTGAATGTTTGGTTTGCAATTCACTCCTGTCTAATGTAGGATGATGCTACAGGACTGGACTACATCGACTCCTAGCCTAAAGACAGAGAGGGAAGTTGTTGGTTGAACGTGTTGACCACTTCACTTATTTGGGAAGTTCAATCAGCCCCAATGGACTGATTCCTGAGAAAATCTCAGCACAGATACAAAAGGCTTATGTGATATTCGCAAACCTGCATCATCTGTGGCGTAGACGTGATATCCAGCTATTGATCAAAGGATGTGTATACTGCTCAGCAGTTCGCTCCGTA